TATATATATATATAAGAGCTGGACCAGCCAGGTCTAGTGATATCCAGATGCATAAAAAACAGATGAAATTATCAGAAAAAACTTTCACAGATCTCAAACTTAGTTTTAAATATTCTTTTGTCATTGAAGAATAATCTAGTCCGGGTTTGATGAGTCTAGGTCAGGGGTGTCCAAACATTTTGTCACATGGGCCAAAATCATAAATTCAGAAGGACTTGAGGGCCAAAAATATTTTTCCTTTACCTGCTCAGTAATAAACTAAATATTGAATACTTTAAACGGATAAAGTAGTCCGATTTATTGCTGGAAATGGGTGCGTAAATTAATCTAGATCCAGAAGTTTAAAATTGTTTTCCCTTATTGAAAGAAATTTTGCAATTTTCTAGGTTTCATTTGGGGGGAAAAAACCCAATTTAATCAATTCTGATCAATAAAATCAAGGTTTAGGTCACTCTTTCATTGAAAATGCTTGCTGTGTTCAGAGAAATGTAATAAAATAATTAAAAGCAGATTGAAGTGCAGCAAAATCAGCTTCGGAGTAGAAGTCACTAAATAGATGTGTAAAAAGCTAAGAGTCTGGTTATTTAAAGACAAAAAAAAATCTGTTTTGTTGCCAATTTTTTTTATTATCCAATTTTACTTTGTGATAAATTTGCCCTAATAATAAATGGAAAGTCTCCATCTACATCAAACACCTGTGCCGGGGGACAATTAGTATAATTCTTGAACTGAAGTCAGGGGCCACACAAAATCAGTTCAGGGGCCACAAATGGCCCCCGGGCCACACTTTGGACATCCCTGGTCTAGGTGTTGTAGTTTTTGAGCAGGGCCAGATCTAGTGTGGTCCAGTTGCCTGAAAAATGATGAAAAAAAACAACTTTGTTGAAGTTTTACAAATCAGAAAAAGCTTTAAAAATCCCAAACATCTAGTCCAGGTTTGAAGAGTCTGGCTTATTTCTGTTTGAAGAAAAATGACGTGTTGCAACCGTCCCCTTTCTCCCCAATTTATTATTTATCTATACTTATTAGGCCTATCATGCGCTTTGAAAACAACCTTCAAAGTTTGATGTTCAGTCTTGTTTGACAGGATTATAGAGGTCAAGTCAGGTCAGACAACCTCTCTGCGGTTACACTGATGCAAAACTGAGATTTATTATTTCACAGCATCAACCTCCACCTCACGTTTGTAACTGCAGACTATCTTTATCCTGCAGAGATAAAAATCTGTTTTTATACAGCAGACTTACACTGGCACCTCCTCTGCTCAGATGCACCAGGATAGCGGAGGCTTCGTGGATTTCACTGCCGTCATAAACTCCGCAGCCCGACAGCACCACCGCCACGCGTTTAGCCATTTCTGAGGAATAATAACGTTTATTTAAGCTTTGGACCGTCCTGACAGTCAGCACACTGCGAAAACAGTGATGGAGCTGCAGGAGCATGGCTGACGATGTGACTTCTTCTTCTTCTTCTTTTAAACTTTAATGGCGGATGACAAACCACCTTAAGGTGCATTTACCGCCACCTACCGTACTGGAGTGTGTATGTCAATGACAGAAGGAACTTATTTTACACACATCAGTGTGCTTCATGTATATA